CCACAAATTCTCCTAAATCACTCTTACGCACAACTTAAGAACAAATCTGTGCGTACCAACGGTTCTTGCATGAGGCTCAATATTCTACATCACCGTGCTCCATTTCAGTCCTCCATCTGAGAAGATTTGGTGAGCAGCTTCTGTCTCTCACAGCATCCACATCATCTTCAACATCCTCACTACGGCTCTTCTGCCTCTCCCTCCTTCCAGACTTGAAGATGGCTGGTCATCACTATAAAATAAAAAGAAAGTAGCAATAAACGTTCAGTTAGTCACACACACATACACACACACACACTAAATATATATATAAATTAGTAAAGATAAGGCAGGGTTTACTGAGCAAATATCAATAGGTTGATACAAAAAAAACAGTGTTTTGGAGACAATGCGCACATTATTTACACATACTAACTCTAAATACGCTTATATTGTACAAAGTAACTTACTTGTTACACTGTTATAAAAATAAACATACAAAAACCATCCACATATTCATAAAATAAACAATAAAAGTAAAAACTGGCTTCTTTCACAAAAATGATGCGCTCAGCAGAAACTCCTTCCAACTACGTTACCTTTCCTCACAAGAAGCCGATTCCTCACCGTCTTCTTAGGTCTAAAAATCATCCTGGAACCTCCGTGGTGGTTTGATGACTCATGAAGAACATCTTCCAGACATTATTCGAACAAAATATTTCCTCMGCTCTGAAAAAAAGATTCTGTCTCTTGTAATGTTCCACTTCACTCTGCACCGAGCGTCTTCAGACAAGGGTGAACAAACAGATTGCTTCCCGGGCCTGCTGCAGCTCGTCACGTGATATTACTGTAAAACCCCATATATCAGTGAAAAGCCCAGATTCTTGGCTTTCAGGCACTGTTTGAATTTTTTAGATTGCACAAATGGTTCAGAACTTACGGTGTTTTAAAAAAAACTGTGTAAAAATGTGTCTGCGCCGACACGTACGGTGTAAGAGGGTTAATAGTGTTAGCATCAAAGCTAATGTACATGGCATTAGATTCAGAGCTAATATATACTTAGCACAAAAAGTAAGAAAAGTTGTGTTTGGTAGAATATTTCATTGTTGTARCAATGCTTCTTGGCAATAAATCTTATGCGGTTTTAAAGCCTGTTCATTTTCCTTGTAAATGGTGCTACACTTGTAAGGAACATGCATTTGTGGGATAAGCAGTAGAGCTGAGTATGTGTTWTGCACATACTAAGAATTTGTCAATTCCTCTCTGTGGCCAAACATCCTATTTTGCTGCTGCTATTGACTCTTGTTTTGAGCTGCCAATCAAGTGCCCAATATAAGATTTATTGCCAAGAAACAACAAGAAATAATCTACCAAATACAAATGTCTTTACTTTTTGTGTTAAGTTTATTTCACATTAGCTTCAGAGCTAATGTACTAAACACCACAAGTTGATCACGTTTAATTGTTTCAACTCGTGTATTGTGCATCACAACATAAAAATTGATGCACATTTGTCACACATTATAGCTTTTTAGCTTTGACTCCTTGTGCTTACCGTATGTCTCAACTGGAACCTGTCTTGTCATCTCCCCACACTGCGTTGCACCAGTAAAAATAATGGTGACGTCCTGAATATAAAATGTAATAAACATGCTCTTGTGTCACAAACAACAAATTTTAGTAGAATACAGAAAAAAAACATATTAAAGCCAACATGTGAAAGTGAGATAAWGTCCTAATTATCCTGTAATTATCCTGTCTTTGTTCAGGATGGCTCCAGAGGTAGCAGCTGTAGAAAAG